TTTTGGTTTTGGGTAAAAAACATAGTTGATTGGCCCAAGGAACCCATTCTTTCCAAATGTTGGGTTTTATTCCCATGTCACTTAACTAAAAGGTGGTCTCCAGGAAAGTTTTCAATTTAATATTAGAAGGCTCTTTAAGGAGATCTGATGGCCTAGTGGATAAGAATCTCTGCTTCCAATACAAAAACATGTGGTTTGAATCCACCAGCTGCTCCGTGGGAGAAAGATGGGCAGTCAGCTCCCATATACTACCATTTACTGCCTCTCAAAACCTGCTGAAGGGTCAACTGTGGGTCAGTTCCAACTCCATGGTACACAATAATAGTAACAACGTCAGAGCTATAATCTTGAGGGTTCCTCTGCTTTGTTTCTTTCAGACTGTTATGTCTAGTCTTTTTATTATTACTATTATTTATTTTTTTTTTCTACATTTTCTACCCATTCTATATGGTACCTTTTATTTGGCATGGGCCAGGGTGACCCCTAATGGTAGACAGGCATCCTCTAATTCTGGTCTCAAGTTAGAAGAGGCTGTGGTACATGAGTCATTAGTCCTTTGGAATACCTGCTTCCTAGGTCTTCAAATATGTCTCTGTGTGTTTGTGTGCATGAGAGAAGGGTGTTTGTGTGTGTGAGAGAGAATATATGTTTGACATCCAGTCAAATCCATTTCATAGCAACTCTCTGGCAGGTTTCTGCGACTGTGAATCTTTATGTGGGAAGACTGCCCTGTTTATCCTATAGAGCAGCTGCTGGATCTCTACCACCAGCTTTTCATTAGCAATATAGTCCACCTGGGCTTCTTACTTGTAATTGCTTAATGAAACCTAGGAAAATGTTTAAAATGTTTTATAATAAAATAATGGAGAGGAAACATTAGAAAATAATTATTATTCTGTCTGTTAGTTGAGGGAGAAGAATGGGCATTTCCTCCCAAGAAATTGACTGTCTCCCAAAACTCGCTGGAGGGTCAGCTGTACATTTTTTTCTGACTGATAGCACACAGAAACAACAACATCTGTTACTCTGCTCTAGTCCTGTTTTTAAAACTACTGTGCCTTAGTTTTCCTACCTAAGACATTATTCTCAGTATAAGCAAGTGAATTTAGTTGACGGCTTTTACACTATTCGGGCTTACTTCCTAGAGAGGAAGATTTTTGAAGTAACTTTAAAGACAAATAATGATTTTTATCAGCAAAACATCAACAGTAGTAGGTAAATCTGTAAGTATAAGTGCTTAAGTGATGTCCTGAGACAAAAAGGGAAGAATCAGTGATACAGTTGAGGGTGGAGATCCTTAGACAAGGAAATACGTAGTTCAATAAGTAAGAATGAAAAATACAGCAACTCATCCCTTCTGCCTTTTATTTTCTCTGTACTTTGGCTGAATACTGACTTTAACCTCCTACCATGTTTCCTTCTTTTCATGGTTATTAGCTGTCATTCAGTCAGCTGAGAATCAGTGCAGCCTAATGTGTAACAGAATGATGTGTTGATTAATATGGGCCATTTTCGTGATCAGATTTGGGGTTTTTTTAAATATTGATATTTTGATTTTGTTATTGTGGCAATTTGTCAGTCTGTCTCATTTTTGCTGACCCTCTACTTTGCTAAGCATAACAATTCTTTTAGCTGAATAAGAAAGGTGACATCAAGTCCCCTGATCCCTGCTTTCTTATTGCTGGAGGCAGATTTGCACACTAAATCAGATTAATAAATATTAAGTACCTATTCTTAGAAAAGGAGAGCTCTTACGATGCAGCCTGAAGCAAGTTGCTCTACTGACGTGAAAGCTGTGCATCTCTAGTAGTTCAAATCCAATTGCACTTGGGAGAAAGGTGAGCCATCTCCTCTTATTAAGATTTATAGCCTCTGAAACCTGATAAGAGTCTCTCTGAGTCAGAACTGACTCGATGGTAGTGAGAGAGATTTTTATAAAGGCTCTCTGGAATCACCTGTTAACTGAAAGGTTGGCATTTCAAACCGGTCAGCTCCTCAGAGAAAGATGTGGGAGACTCTCTCTGTAAAGATAACACTGTTGAAAACCTATGGGGTAGTTTTACTCTGTCCCATAGGGTTACTGTGAGCCACAGTTGGTTTGACAACGAGTGTTTTCTCAGAATTACACTGTTTGAGAACTAAAATACATGAAACACACTCTGGTACATGGAATTTGAACTTACATCCTCCTAAATGTGAGACAGGCATCAGTGTGAGAGACCAGCAGCAGTGTGTGGAGCAAGACATCACAGAAGTGACTTGTGGCCTAAAACATCATATTAAAGGGTGGCTTGGGGAGGGAGGTGCTGGACTGGTTAGATAGGAGAGCAAGGAATGCTGATGTAGCAGGGAATGGGAAGGGACAAGGTCACATGCCTAGGTGGGAGTGGGATGGGAGTGTAGGGGGACAGTGATTGAATTGCTTATTTCTGTAAGGGAAGTGTTTTTCATCTGCTGTTTTTCAGTAAAATGCTTGTCTGTCAGATATTGCTCTAAAACCAACTATCTAAATTCAGACAGACAAGGAAGAAGGATTAGCCATCCACTTCTGAAATACATCAGGCCTTCAAAAAACCTATCTATGTACAGTAGAGCACACTTAGTGTTGACTAAAAGACATGGAAACCGAGGCTGAGCCCTCAAATTTGAAAACACAAAGGAGGAGGAACAGTTGTAAGCAGATACTAATTGAAACTAATGGTTTAATTAGCATGAATGTAGGAAAACTGGACACTGTTAAAAAAGAAATGAAAAGCATAAATATTGACATATTAGATATTAGTGAAATGAGATGAATTGGCGAGAGACATTTTGATTCAGACAATCATATGATCTACTATACTGGAGATGAAAAGGTGAGGAAAAAATGGGATTGTTTTCATAGTTAAAAAGGCCAATTCTAGATCCATCTTGAAATACAATATTGTGACAGGATAATATTTGTACACATACAAGGAAGACCTGTTCAAATTTATGCACCAACAACCTGCCATAGTGGAGGAAATAGATGAACTCTTCCAACTCTTGCAGTCAGAAATTAATTGAACGTGTAACCAAGATGCATTAACAATAATGGGTGACTGGGATGTGAAAGTGGGGAGCCAGGAAGAAGGATCATTTGTCAGAAAATATGGACGTGGTAACAGAAAAGAGGCTGGGGATTGTCAGAAAATATGGACGTGGTAACAGAAAAGAGGCTGGGGATCAAATGATAGGCACAATCAATGATTTAGTCATTGCAAATACCTTTTATAAGAAGCATAAATGCTGCCTATGCACATGGATTTCACCTGATGGTATGCACAGGAAATAGATCAATTACACCTGTGGAAGGAACTGTTGGAGAAGTTTCATATCAGTGAAAACTAAGCCAGGTGCTGATTGTGAAAGAGACCATCAACTACTCTCACTTTCTAGAACTATAAAAATTTATAAAAGTACAATGTGGTGGTATGTGCTGTTGAGTCAACTATAACTCATGGTGATCTTATGTACAGATCTGGTCTTTGCCTTATCCTGTACCATCATCACTATCTCCACCATGCTTGAGCCCAATGTTACAGTCACTATGTTAGTCTTTCTTGTTGAGAGTCTTTCTTTCTATGACCCTCCACCTTTCCCAGAATGATATTGTTTTCTAAGAACTAATTCCTCTAGGCAGCATTTCCCAAAGTATATGAGACAAAATTTCACCATCCTTATCTCTGAAGACAACCCAGGTTACATTCTAAATTGACTTGTTTGTTATTTTGAGAGTCCATGGGCTATTCAGTTATCTTTCCCACCATCACAAATGAGAGGCATCAGATCTTCAATCATCCTTATGCATTGGCCAACTTTTAGATGCATAAAACCAGTTGAGAAAACCATGTTCTTAACCTCTAGGACTGACATCATTGTTCAGTGACCAATGAAGAGTCATTGTTCTCTCATACTTTGGAGAGGTCCTTGACAGCAGATTTCTCCAATATAGCACATCTTTTCATTTCTTGATGTTGAAATGTAAGCCATATTGAAGGCTGTAGACTTTGATCTTATGCAGTAAATGCTTATTCACATTCAGCAAACAAGGTTGTGTCATTCTGTATAACAAATTGTTTATGAGTCATCCTTTAATGATGCCACGTTCTTGAGCTTCTCAAATGATTTGTTCAGCTTATAGGTTGAACAGGTACGGAGAAGGCACTGAAGCACACCTTTCCTGCTTTTAAATCATTGTGTTCCCTTGTTCTGTTCAGACAACAAATTCTTGGTCTATGCACAGATTTTTCATGAGCACAAGTATGCTGGAGCAGAATTTAAATTAAAAATTGCCTGAAATTAGAGATAAAATTCATTGTGTATATTGACTGTGTAATTTCTAATATGTAAGTGACCATTGTGATGGGAAGTACTGTCAGAGAGGTCATAAATTATTGCCTTATATAAGCAGTGCTATTATTACCATTAAAAGTGATTAATAACTTACTTAGCTTCCCATAAAATCATAATATTTCTAATGAAGCCCTCTGAATTTATTTTTTTTTAACAGCTCATAGCACTTGCTCCAAAAACTGCAAAAAAAGGAGTAACATATTTGGTATAAACATTTTTGCTATGTCTAAATAATGTTATTTAATTATTTCAGCTGTTATAAATAAATTTGAACTCATTAAAGCCAGGATATATTAATAATTTTTAAGAAAGCTGCTTTGAAAAATTATGGAATGGTTTGATTTATAGCATTTTGTTTTATGTGATTTAGATAAGTACATGGCTTTTTTATGCTCTTCTATTTAGCAGGATTAATTATGAATCTTACTGGTATGTCCATTCTAGAACACATTGTGAGTTCTTAGTCATTTAAACAGTTGTGATTTAAACTGAGTTTCTGTGATGACTTTTTTTATCAAAGCTGCTTAAATATGTTCTTGGTTTTTTTCTGCCTTTGTAATAGAGATCTCTTGATATTCTTGTTGAATTCTAATTGAAGCCTGTCCCTCTTACCCTTTTATTTTCAGATATTTGTATCTGCTGTTTTCTGGTGATGACCTTTTACCCTTAGACCATTGGGTATTTAATACAGAGGCCCACCCTCTGCCTGTGTTACATTTAGCCAACACCACACTTTCAGAAAATCCTGCTGTTCGGTGAAAGCAGCTCCAGAAGGACCATTCTCACCTGTATTTTGTTTACATGGACTACTGCAGAAACATGCTGGAGAGGGGGCGTTTGAAAACCCGGACCTCTTAAGTCAACATGGCAGAGTAAAGTGACTCTTCCTTGCAAGAATTTTCAACTTGTAGATACATCAACCTTGAAATGACTTCATTTTATACCTGACCAAAATATGTTCCGGTATGTATAGGACTGGAACCTCATATACTTTGATTGTTAATGGGATGGTCACATAAGAGATGATTCTTATTACTACTGCATTGTAAAACCCTGGAGTCCAGAAGCTAGACTTCTAAGAAGAAACCAGGAAAATGCAGCGCCTTGCAGGAGATAGAGATGGCCTTTGGAACAAGTTATATATTTGTTTCCTCCTACAGTGAGGCAGCTTTCAAATCAGATATTACACATTGTTTAATCCCTTCTCCATTTTAATAATGGAATGAACTAAGGCAAACAAGAACAGTATAACTGCATCAGCAGCAAGAGTACTTGAAAAAAAAAAAAAAAACAGAAGAACCTATCCATGTCTGATTTTCTCGTTCCCTATTGAATGACCAGACTGGCAGCCATTTCAACTCCCAATCTATTTTGTTAAAATTTCGTTATTAAATTTAAATTTCTTTGGAGACATGATCTCATAAAGAATACTGATCAAGTGTTTGTCTCCATAAGGAATCATCAAAAGTACATTTTATCATAATCACTACTTATGAGCCTGGGTTTGGGATTTTGTGCATGTTGTTCAGTCTAGTGTTGGAAGCATGACAAAAGTGGGGGAAATGCCATAGTCTGTTGCCTTGAAACCTGTTCTAAGAGAAAGACTTGGTTTTGTTGGTTGGAGATTATTTTTTCCAAACCAGCAAATCTACCAAGTAAATTTTATCCACTTTAACCTTACTATAAATTCAGTGCAGTTATTCAGCTTACCATATTATTTATGTGGCTTGGCACGATGTGCTATAATATTATGTGGCTCTGACATTGTCTTGATGAGCCAAATTACTACTATAAATTATTAACAACAAAACATAATGAAACTTCCTTAGCAATTCTATGTGGAATGGAGATAAGGGGCCCTTTATTATTTCATCAGATGAGTGAGCTTTTAAAAAATATTTTCTGTAAAAAAATTCAACTTGTATTTTCTTTGAAAACATTTATTAATCCAAAGAATTAATTAGAAAACTTCAAAATTTTTAGTGATAAAAGTATGGTGCAGTTAATCATATTAACATGTAATTTGAGATATAGCAAAGGAACTTTCTGTCACCATTAGTAGGTTTTACAGAGATATTTCTTGTAAAAGGAATTTTAGTTCTTTATATTGGGGGGCGGGGAACAAATTTTATCAAGAACTATAATATACATATCTAATGCTTATACATTTTCTGTCACAATATAAGACACTTAATTTTTTCTTTGATTTAATATGAGCAGCTGACATTGACAATAAAAATTGGGAAAAATAGAATATTTCCTCTGCATTTCAAAATTTCATAAAACTATATTTGTGTAGGTAGCTGATCTTGGAATTTTGTAGTCTCATTTTCTTATTTTGATAGTTTTCTTTTTAATCCTCTATTTCTCATGTAGATTTAAATTGAAAGATGATTTAATAAATTAATATAGTTAAATGTTTTCTTAGGTTCATCATCATATACTGCAAATAATGAAATCATCTACAAAGGTCAATAAATAATCCATAAATTATAGCCACCTCAAATTTTTTAAGTGTCCCTATAAAGTAAGAGAGTGTAACCAGTTGCTTTCTTTTAAGTCTTTAGAATTAAATTTTATCATCCATTTAAAAATTGTGACACCTTTTACATGAAAAAGTAAATTTGTTTTAAATGAGCGGAGTAAAGAGCTTTATTAACACTTTAGAAGAAGAAAGGGAAGTACTTGGTTAAAAAAAAAAACATTAGCTTTCCTCCTAAAAAAAGAGCATACACCCACTTATGAGACTTGAAAGAGAAAAACTGATCGAGCAGAGAAGCAGAGCACTTTGCTGTAAGAGAATACATTGAAAAGGGTCTTCATGGTTTCCCAGGAATATTCAAAATGATGAGACAGAACTTCGCATTCCCAACTGCTGTTTGTATTACTTGGATAACTGGAGCTTTAGAAGAGGCAAAAGTATCTAAATAGGACCAATTCTGGCACAAGCAAAGAAGTGAAGGACAGAGAAAGAGTTTTCTCTGCTTTTCTGTGATAAGAAGACTAGAGCTCATTAACAGTGCTTCCATTTTTTAATCTTCAAATACCAGAGGCAGTGAAATCAGCTACAAATGACTTGCCAGTGTTATTATGTTTTGTTTTATGATACTTTTAAATTATTTTCTCCAAAATCAATTATTACGCTGTATCCTGTTTAGTTCCTGAGAGTCCTTTTTACTTCTGTTCTTTACAGACCTTTGCACACGTACACCATATTACTCAGGATAAATAATTAGTATATTTCTAGATACTCTGCGAAGAATCCAGAGTTTCTCCTTTCCAATTTGCCTCTCCCGAGAGCAGGCACCTTATCTTATGCCTTTGCCACAATGTGCGAAATAGATCAGTTGAGATAGAAAAGGGGAAAAAAATATGCTCTACCATCATCATTTTAGAAGTCACACTTTTGATTCAAACTGAGTTTTTATTTTTTATTACTCGATCAGTATAAAATTGTTAGAACCAAGAGAAAACAGCCCTCACCAAAAAGTCTGAATACACAAGAATAAATCTCTGATTAAGGGGTTCTTACTTTCTGGTGGGTTACATGTATTCACTGTTCTGTTTCTCTAATACATACTTACTCCTGTCTTTGAGCAGATGTTCTTATGTAAAAGTGAAGTCTAGGTACTGAAGGAATGCATGCTTTTTGTGGTTATTGACCTGGAGTCTTGATGTCATCTAGGACAACCCAGGCTTCGCTTGATAGATTTTACCCAGGCAGTTTGAAAATTTGACCATCAACCTCTCATCTTCTCCACTCGCCATTGCCAAAGTCTTTGTGAAAATTGTGTATTTGTGCTTCCCATTCTCATTATGCATTTTCTACATTATCTGGACTTATTTGAATGAGTGCATGAGAGAATGAGTGAACATTTTTCTAATGGAGTACCTAATATGTGTCAAGCATTGTGCTAGGTACTTTAAAGCATTAGGACATTTTACATGATTCCGGTGGCATTTTATGTATGCTTTTCAGTGTGAATCATATTAAAGAATCCTTAATTTTATATTTCATTTAAATTAAAGAGGAAAAGAAGAGGTTTATAATATATTTTAATCAGTGTGATAATGTATAATACTAACAGCTATAATTATAGTTAATAATTAAAATCTCTTGGGAAATGTCAAAGTAATAGTTGACTTCTGAAGAAACTTGGACTAAAATATTTACTTTAGAAATAAAAGCATTCTTATTTTGCTATACCACTTTACAAAATTAAAAATGTTTTATAGAAGTACTGGTTATTTTCTATTTTAAAAATTTTATCATAATTCATGGGTAGCAACTTGCAGTTGTAAAGTATTTTTGCTCTTGTATGGGGCCTACTAATAGACCCATGCTTTTAAATATAAAGAAGATACTAAACTATTTCTAAGCTCCAAATAATAGTATTAGTCCCTAGTATAGTTATTTGAGTTCCTATTTCTTTTTCTAAAATGTTTTCTTACTGTCAAGTTAGCTATAGCCTATCTTTATCAACTCTACACAGATAGCTACAAATAAATGGAGTTATACAGATTTCTAATGCTATCTGTGTTCAAGTTAGTTGCTGGTTTTGGCTACACATTCTAAGAGGAATATTTGAGTAACCAAATAAAATAAGGAGATATTTTAATGTACTTGTTCTGGCTTAAAAATATTGGTGAAGATGATTTTCTTTTACCTCAGCTCATTGACATCATGATGGAGATACTAATTCTGACATAGAATGGGGCAGCACGCTTCTTTGTGAAGGACCAGATAATAAATATTTTAAGCTTTGCAGGCCGTAGGTCTCTGTTTTCTACTAAATTCTGCTGATGAAATGAATGGATGTAACTATTCCAATAAAACTTTATTTTCAAAAGCAAATGGAAGGCTGGATTTATCCCTAGGACCACAACTTGCTGAATTTGCTGACTCCTCAAGTTCAATTTGTGTAAGGCCCACAAACTTTTTCTGTATTGTCCCTTTATGTTTGATTTACTTAATTCATTTTAAAGATGTTTCAATTAGTTTTCAAATATGTATGTATGTACAGTTTATATATATTTGTGTAACCTAACCTAAAACTTTATCTTTTGTTGTCTTAAAAGTACAAATACTCCTCTAGAGTCTGTTGATGTTTCAGGGTGATAAAGCTATAAGGAAAAAAGCAAAATTTTTGTTCTTGGAGTGTGCTACCTGCCTTTGAATATTAATATCGCAGTCCCAGAGTTGCCATGTAAAAGGACAGGACCCTGTGGTATCAATATATTACATTCTAAGTTCTGCCTTTTCTTTGAGGTTAGATCAGGATTCTAGATTTCTGTAGAAATTTCTCAAATTGGATATACTTAGAGCCCTCTACCAAGAATATGATAAAATTTCTAACTTTTTATGTTATAGAAACTATTCTTTTAAAAAATTAGACAATAGAAAATAGATTTTGTGCTTCACTTGCTATTTTGCAGCCTCTTTTTCTCTGGTGGCATAGTCCACAGTGAGTTGCACTGGGAATCCAAAGGCCAACCCTCCTTTGGTCACATCCACTAGAGGCTCCAAGGGAGAAAGATGGACAGTCTCCTCCAGTGTGACTCACAGCCTTGGAAACGTGAAAGAGGGTCAGCTATGAGTCTGTCTGATTTAATGGCAGTGAATTTTTTTCATACTGCAAAAGATTACTTATCCTGGTACCCCTAAAACAGTTTAAGTCTGCAGAAGACAAAAAGATGTATCTGAAAGGAGGAGGACCTTCCTCATTTCTTACATAACTCTACAAGTCAGTGGCATTATTTCAGAACGCAGGTGTGCATCACCCTTCAGCCTCAACCTTAGACTTCCACTGTTTAATCCATTTTAAACTTGGCTTGAGCTAAGCAGTTGCAGAACTCATGAGATCACAGGACCCGATTAATAGTATATACATTGAAGTGCATCAATCATTCTGAAAGAAAGATATTTTTCACCAAGTAATTGATCAACTGTGTTACTTTCTGGAATTGCTAGAAGAGGAGAAAGCTTGTACTCTGAATATTAGAGGAAGAAGAGCTTTATTGTCTCTCTTCTGTATTAAAAATGAACTGCCTTTCTAGATCTGTGGGGTTTCCCTCC